TTTGTATTCTGATGACTGGAATTTTCTTGTCCCTGATCTTGTATGTGATGTTTCCACTGGATTCTTGTGGAAGATTCATTTGGATTTGGAGGCAAGCTTTTTTTTTTTTTGGTGAAAAAAAAATCCCTTTTAATATTTTACTAACTTTATTTTTAATGATCACAGGCAATTTCCGCAAGTAGCTCAGAAGTGCCATTGGTTTTGGAGTTTTTGCAGAGAAGGAAATTGGAAGCAAAGAAGGTAATAATTAAATTATAATTTTTTTTTTCTAAAAAATGAGGAAAAAGTATTATTTTTATCCTTTGTTTGATTCAGGCTAAAGATTTATGTTTGGAGTTACTCCGGTCAATCATGATTGAAAGAAGACCCCTGCCCGTAATTTTCCGGGCAGTTAACGTACTGGTGACCTCTTTTGCATATTCACTGAAAACCGGAAGTTACTCAAAGTCAACACCAGTCAACTCCTCCTCCTCCTCCGGTGTACCGGAAAACAGTTCCGGCAACAAACCGGGAGAAACATCCGGTGGTGGCTTCTCAACTTCAGACTCTGAAGATAATATTAATTTAAAAAAAGAAAATGGAGAAAACTTAATGGTTTCAGAAGATCAACAAGAGTCACAATCACAAGTAGTTACTTCAGCAACTATTCCACCTGATGAGCTTTACACTTTTGTATTTGCTTCAGTTGAAGAAGAGATGAGTGCTTTTGCAGATGCTTCTTATTTGTTTTCCATTCTTCTCGAGTTTATCAGGAGGTAATTCAATTCAATTTAAATTTGAACTTTTTTAATTTTTTAATAAAAAAATCTGGGTTTTCTCGCTTTTGTAGTGCCAATTTGGAGAAAATAAAAGTGCATCCGAATATATACGTGTTGGCAGTGAGGTTGCTTGGAAGGAATGAGAGATACGCTGAGCTTGGACAGTTTGTTTTGAATAAGGTATTCTACTTTGAAAATGAAAAATTACGAAAATGCCCAGTAAAGGAAATCCCAAAATTGCCCTTGGTTTGCACAGATTATCGAGCCATCGAAAGAGGTAGCGGTTGAGCTTCTAGAAGGCGTGGGAAGTCATAACATCCAAACAAGAAAGTTAGGTGTTGATATGCTGAGACAGCTGTCACTTCATCATGACTACGTGGTGTTACTTGTACAAGATGGATGTTATCTTGAAGCTTTACGTTACGCACGAAAACACAAGGTCATTTTCGTCTTTTCAACCCAACACCAACACCACCACCTATTATTATATTATTCGAGAAAATTTACATTTGTTTTTGCGAATAATGAATGTCATCAGGTTAGTACTGTTCGGCCATCATTGTTTCTAGAAGCAGCGTATGCATCAAACGACCCACAACACCTGGCGGCAGTTTTAAGGTTCTTCGGTGAGTTCATACCTGGATTTGGGACCACTTCAGAACACACGACTTATATTCGTGCCCTTGCTGATATGCCTTCTTCGATTACTGTGTGAGATCTTGGTTTTTTGACAAAGGATTTGGAATCTGTTATGTGTTTGGTTTCGTTGGTTGGTAGGATTTGGGATGAATTTCAGAAAACTTTGTGTAATAATATTTCACCACTATGATCCACAGTACATAAACAAAACAAGAGATTCATATTTTCTACTTTCGTTTTACTTTCTTCGTATTGTGATTTTTTTTATATGCTCTTTCACAACTGCAAATTAGAGTTCGGATGTTATATAATATTAAATCTATGGGGAGTTGGCAACGGCAAACTTTTGATTATGACAATTTTGGCTCAATAGTTATTATAATTGACAACCTTAGGAACAGTAGACCTTTGTGGTTCACACTTTTGGCCCAATACTTAAAATTGCTGGCAACTTTAGTCCTTTGAAGGTGGATCTATCAAAATTACAACACGTGGATTTTTCCACAAATGGAATGATACACGAATGGTAGAGTTGGTGAAGATGATTTGTCAACAATGTTGATCGTTCAAGTGCCATTCTCTATAAGCTATTTTGATTGAAAACCAACCTTATCAAGTGCTTCTGCTTCTTTACTTGGGAGTTCTACATTATCAATCATATCTATTACCAGAAACAAGAATTGAGGAGAAAGGTCAGAAAATATGTTCCAAGTCATTTGACTTTGACCAAAATAGGGATACATCAAAATCATAAGGATGTCGACTTTATGTGGTTTCGTGTTCCTTATATGGTTATTTTCAAACCTGGTGTATGACTTTCATGCTCGGAGGTACTTAGGAAAAAGGAACAACTCCCCACCCAAAGGAGAAAGATAGAAATGTTTGTCATGAGAATGAATTAGTGTAAATATCTGCTTCTACTATATTTCATCGTACTTTTGGAGTCAACCAATTACAATATCCTACTTTCGTTTTAGTTCTTTTTAAAGTTTAGCAAAAAAAAAAAAAAAAAAAGATCAAACCCATTGCGAAGCATGGTTGTGTGTGATTTGATTTGTATATGTGTTTGATGGAAAGAAAGCGGAGTAGCTAATACCCAATGAATTTTTTATTTAAAAAAATCAACTTTTGTAAAACTAGGAGTATCTGTTTTGGGGAAGTTTTTAGATTTAAAATCTAATTTGTTTTATGGACCATTTTGCCTCTAATGGAAAAAAAAAAAAAAGGTTTTAACAGCCTACTATTTTGTCTCAGTTTTATAAACCTTTCAAAGTACAATATCTTAATTGGAAAAAAAAAAAAAAAAAAAAAAAGTAAAAGTACTATCCTGCCTATAACACAAAACAAAAAAATAAAAATTAATAAATAAATAACCCTGACCAGCACAGCCCGTGTTTTTTTACTAGTTAGAATAAAAGAACAAATATTAGTGAATTTGGTGTATATGCGCCAGACATGAATTTGGAAAACACGAACACGATACAATTGTAAAACGTATTTTGTGTATAAAACACAAAAACAACATATAATATATTCATGTAGCACATTCAGACATATTTTTAACTATGTTACACAAAAACATGGATATACATGAATTTATATGAATTTTCTTCGTGTCTGTACGTGTTTATATGTTTCATGTGTCAACACAAGTTTAATTCGTTTATATAAGTGTTTAAACAGGTAAATTCGTGTTTAACGAATAAGACACAAAACACGAATTTAAAATTCATATCAACACGAATACACATTAAACATAAATTTCTAAAACTCATACATGAAAACTCGCATTATGTTCATTTCATGTATTAAATTGTCGGTCTAGTAACATGTATGTTAAAAACGGAGAAATGTAGTAAGGAAAATGCAAAATACCCTTATGATGCACAACTTTAATGATGTAGTTTAACGCATTCTTGAAAGGCCAATCTTAAAAGGAAAATGTCTATTTTGTACTAATATTGAAAAATCAAAAGTTTGTCTCCAGTTTATTAAAAAGAATTGGAAAATGTGAGGCCTTTCTTGTAATTTACTAAAAACATATCAACATACTTTGTACCAATATTGAAAAATCAAAAGTTTGTCCCAAAATTATTTTAAAAAAAAAATGGAAAATATGAGACCTTTCTTGTAATTTACTAAAAAACATCAACATAATTGTAGTCTTGAGATTTTTCAATTTTAAATAGAAAAAAGTTATAAAAGTCTTTATAGTCTTAATTTCAATCACAATTGTTTCCTCACCCATATAAAAAGACTTTTATATGTTTTTTATTTTATAAAACATCATCTTTTGTAGTTGGTTGTTTATTAGACCGATTTAAAATATGTTGACTTTTGATAGAATTGTGCAATTCTAATCTATATAGGCTTCTAATAAAGAAAAACAAGTCGTTTATTATAGGCTTCTATAGGCTTCTAATAAAGAAAAACAAGTCGTTTATTATAGGGTCCTTTAATGTATATTAAAAAATGGGCTGTCGAATAATTACAAATGGAAATAACAAAGAGATATTACTATTGAAATAATAAAAAGAGTAAATTGCAAAAATGGTCCCTGTGTTTGGCAAAATTATGCGACTTTGGTCCAAAACGATAGTTTGATGCACCACTGGTCCAAAATTGGATTTTTCCATTGTTTTTGGTCCCTCCCATTCACTTCCGTCCATATACTCCGTTACATGCAATAAAGACCGGGGTATTTTCGTCTTTCCACATACAGGGACCTTTTTTGCAACCTTATTCAAAATAAAAGCAGAGCTACATCACTCTTCCTTCTTCAACTTCACGAGCTTCATACTCTTCCTACTCTGTGTTCACAATTTCTTAGAGATCAAAAATTAAAATGGTGATGTGTTTCTGTGGTAGGGAAGCGGTGGTTCGCACCTCCTGGACATCAGCAAACCCTGGTCGGAGGTTTCTTTCCTGCCCTCAAAAGGTAAGTGTTCGATTTTGCTATTTTACCCTCATTTTGGAAAATCACCCTCATGTTTAGGGTTTATTTTTTTATGTGAAGGGTTCCAGATGCCGATTCTTAGGATGGATTGATCCTCCCATGTGTGCACGATCTATGTTGATAATACCCGGATTATTGAGGAATATCAACAATGTAAACTATCAAGTGGCAAGATTGAAGATGTGTTTGTTTGCAAGTTGGTTACTATTTGTGGTGGTTTGGGTGCTTTTCATTTAGTAATAAGCAATTAGGGACCCCTGTAGTTGCATGTAATTTTTGGGTGTTTTTTGTCTTATGAAATTGTAACTAGGAATGTGGTAGTTTTTGGTATTTGATAATGTAATATCAGTTTAGGGTTATTTTGGACAACTTCAGAAATTTGTAACCTTTTCAAGGATATAATGACAATGTATTGCAGTTATCACCGAATGTTAATGTATATTTGTTGTTTCAGAAAACAGTTCTTATAACCAAAAATGTGTTCCATAAACATGACAACCAACAGTTGGTATAAACCATAAACATCATTCTTCAACAATGACAAAAGGTTGACATTAGTTTCATGACCAAAAGGGCTAAAAGACCAAAATAAAACCATTACAACAAACTAGTTTTAAACCATTACATCCAAATGCACAAAAGTTGTGCTAAACCAAAAGATAAGTTTTTAAACAAAATACACTAATTCCTGCATTGACTGCTACCTCCATTCCCTCCTTGACTGCATCATGCATTCCCTCCTTGACTGCTTCCTGCATTCCCTCCTTCATTTCTTCCTGCATTCCCACCTTGACCTTTGCACGTCCTTGAGTTATGACCCCTATTGTTGCATTTCCCACACCTAACACTAACAAACTTTCTGGTAAGTTTTTCAGGTTCACCTGCACCATGATTTTGCATCTGTTTATCATATTTTTCATCTGCACTTCTCTTTCTCTTGGTGTTAGGTCTCCCAGGTTGATTGTGATGTGGTGGTGGTGTTAATTGAAATGGACAGGTACTTTTTGCCACATGGCTCTACCCTTTATAGGGTCCACGGTGTAAGAGTAAGCTTCATTCCATGTTTGAAGCCAATACACTTTGTTAACATAAGTGTAAAGCTCCCCAACTTTGTCTCCACTATCAGCCATTTCATGTATTGTAGCTATGGCATGCCTGCATGGAATCCCATTCAATTCCCACCTTCTACATGTACATGACATATTTTCATGTCAACCACATGCTGGTCATGCCAAGGACCATAAACTTCATACTTTGCAGTCCCATTCCATCTAGCTCTATATTGGACTGAAGCTTCCCTATTTCTCTCAAGTAACTTTGATGCTGTTGGAGTGAGTGGACCTGGAGCTTTGGACATCACTTTCTTCACATTGCAAATCCTCTTCATAAGGTACTGCCTGATGTACTCAAGACAACTTATGATGGGCTTATTCCTACCATGAATAAGCTTACTGTTGAAAACCTCACATAAATTGTTGAGCAATATATCTGATCCTGCTCTGCCTGTATTAAACAAGAAAATTATATGAACTAAACCATATACAATGAGCACTAGTAAAGCTTCACCTAAGTTAGGGAATGTAACCTGAAAAGTGGCTTCTGGCCCAATGGTGAGGGGGGATTTTCTTCAACCACTCAAAAGCATCCTTATCAAACTTGTTAAGTTCATTCATGTAGTGTTCAAATTCTGGTACTGTGGTTGCTATTGCACACTGCCATAAGTGATCTTTATACTCTTTTGTTTTCCATTTTTTCCTCATGTTCTCATAAATATGTCTTAGACAGAATCGATGCTCAGCCTGTGGGTATAGTTGTGCTATAGCAGGTAAGAGTCCCTGTAAAGGATTATTTCACATAATCATTGCAACAATCATATACAAATAAACTATTAGTAATACAAAAAGAAGAAAATAGTACCTTTTGTCTATCACTCATGAAAGTAAAGTTAGAATTTGAGCACAACTCTAAGTCATCTCCCAAGCATTCTAGAAACCATTTCCAGCTACTCATATTTTCAGTCTCAACAATGGCATATGCAAGTGGGTATATGCCGTTGTTTGAATCCAATCCAACTGCTGTGAGTACTTGGCCTGGAAAGGGTCCTTTCATAAAAGCACCATCTAGTCCCAGAATATCTCTTAAACCTGCTTTAAACCCTTTCTTTAATGCCCCTAAGCAAATATACACCCTTTTAAACTGCCTTGTTTCTCTAGTACTGTTAGGCTCATTAACAACCTCAAGCTTCACAGTTGTACCCACATTAGTTGCTTGTAGTTCCATAAGATAATCTCTTAACACCTCGTATTGCTTTGTGTAGTCACCACTCACTTGCTTTGTAGCTGTTGCTTTTGCTCTCTGTACTTTGTGTATGGACACACCAACTTGAAGCCTCTTCTGAACTTGCTCTTGAATGCTTCGAAGGGGTACTGTAGGGTTAGACTCGACCATGTCTAAGATTTCTGCAGATATATACTTCGCAGTGCAAGCCCTAAGTTTTCTAGTTTGAACACAAGTATGTTTGTCCAGTAAAGTTTTCACATACCAATAATCACTATCTTTTGACCGTGAAGTCTGCATTGACCAAGAACAATTTAATTTATTGCCCTTACCTACCCCACTTGCATTTACATTAGGTACATTACCTTTACACACAACCCTAAGCCTTGTTTTGTCGTTTTTCTTGAAGCCAAGATTCCTTCTAGTCTCAATGGCAAGTTTGTTGACTTTGTTCTTAATTTCCTTTTTACTTTTATACTTTTGACCCACTTGAAAAGTAACTGTATGGACTTCAACATCTTCAACATCTTCTGTATCAACAACTTCATTTTCAGTCTCAACACCTTTTCCTCTGTCAACATATTCAACATCTAGATCAACATTCATATAGAAATCACTCATGTCCACCTCAATATCACTTACATAGTTTTCTTCATCTTCAAGAAAATCACTGTTTTCCTCACTCCCTTCACTACCCCCTTCACTACCCCCTTCACTACCTCCTTCACCAAGTCCTTCACAAACTCCCTCACTTTCAAATTGAACTTCCCCTAGTCCTGTGCCAAGTTCTGCACCAACACCCATACTCTGATCATTACCATCATTAAAAGTATATTGATCAAAGAAAGGATCAAAGTCTTCAAATTGAAATGGTTGGTCATCAAAGGTATCAAACTCTCTTGTATTTACTTCTTGGTCACCAACATTTGCACCTTGATCATGAACTTCTGTATCTTGATTACCAACAGCTGCACCTTGATCACTAACATTTGCTCCTTCATTACCAATTTCAACATGTGTATCTTGACCACTAACAGTTGCACCTTGCTCACTAATATTTGCACCTTCATTACCAATTTCAACATGTGCATCTTGATCACCAACAGTTGCAGTGTGTTCCAAGTTGAAACACAATTTCTTACTACATGATTGACTCCCATCAACTAACCTCAATCTCTTATTTGAATTGTATTCGGGTGTCTCATATCTTACTAAACACAATTCAAGATTTGGGACATCTTGATCACCAACAGTTGCAGTGGGCACATCATCTGCTATTTCCTCAATTATGACCCTAGGTTTAACTCTTGGAGACATAAAGTATGTAGTAACTTAGTTTCATTATGTTCAGTGTATACCTTGATGATCTTATGATGTTCAATGTACTGTGCAAGACTAAGTACATCAATATCATTCCCTAGAGCTCTAAGACCAAACTCCAAATCTCCATTTGGCAATTGATAGTGGTAGTAAATGACTGGTGGTACATCATAACCAAGCTTCAGCATCACCTCGTCCAACTCATGCACAGAGAACTCATCCATGTCTACCAAGTCAATGTGGTCTAATTTTCCTTCAATGTAGCTTATCCCTGGGAATTTTGTGAACCTCCCTCCATGATGGAGCTCAATAGTGAACATCGTGGGATATCCTTCTGTAAAAATCATGAACCAAACCAAAAAAACATTACTTTATATGGATTGTAAAAGATTTTTTTTGTTTCAAAGAAATATGTAAGAAACAGAGTACGTTACCGTAAATTCGGATTGCATCAAAACACTGCTTTCTTGGCCTGATTTCCCACATTTGGACCATCCTCGTGGATTCAAACTTACGATTGCGGTTGATGATCAAATGCAAGATTTCAATGAACGATTAGGGTTTTCGATCAACAAGTTGGGTTTAGTGCGTAGAGTAGAGTGAAGGGTCATTAACTGTGTATATCATTCAATATGGTGGTAATCGATGATATGGAGGTGGAAAGACGAAAATACCCCGGTCTTTATTGCATGTAACGGAGTATATGGACGGAAGTGAATGGGAGGGACCAAAAACAATGGAAAAATCCAATTTTGGACCAGTGGTGCATCAAACTATCGTTTTGGACCAAAGTCGCATAATTTTGCCAAACACAGGGACCATTTTTGCAATTTACTCTAATAAAAACTAGGTGTAGATACCAAAAGAGACGAAGAGACGTAGGTATGGGGTGGGTCCCTTTATTGAGGTTGTCTTGGTTGCGATGAGTCGGTGACGATGTAGGTTCGGTGGTAGTGGTCTCTTGAAGATGAACATTGTAAGGCTAACGGGTATAGTTACTACTAACACATTAAAAAAGTGTTTCAGATTTATATCACGCCATCTCCATTATATGTTTACTACCCCATTAGTACCTCTTGGAAATGGTTATTACTTTATATTATTTATCTTTTTTTAACATTGGATTAAATAAAAAAACATAATTATTAAACATAAATAAATATTTGCATTACTTAAAAAGAGAAATTTTAAACTTAAATTACTAAAAAAAACATAAAAACATATAAATTTAAATCTAAATTACTAAAAAAACATATAAAATAAAATATAAATATTAAAAACCTTAGAACATAATCGCCATATTTTTCGTGGACTCATTGAAATTTCAAAAACGTTGCTACATTTTTTTGGTCGAGATCCAGTTGGGGCTTTATGTTTATAATTTGAAGATCGGTATGGGCTATTTTTCGTTGACGGTCTTCCTTTGTTGTTTCATACTGTTTCTAGAAAAAGTAGAGTTGTCTATTTTTCCGCAAGTATGTCTTTGTTGCTCGCTTTTACGGATGAAGACACCGCCAGTTTCGCTTTGTCCCTTCCGATGGTCGACTAAGTTGGACTTCCGGTAGACCCTCCCCCTCCATGTTGTCGAAGTCATCATTAAGGTCGAGGCCAAAACCCACATCTGACTTAGAAGTTCTTGGCTTTTTGTTGGATTCGGTGGTCGATTTTGAATGCATCGTCTCAGGATTAAGGACCCATTTTGGACCTTTTTGACAAATATTTCATGCTTTTTGGTGACCGAATGGTTTACCATTGTTGGTAACTTTGTATTGATAGCATGTAGTTGATAAAATATTGAAATCGTTGCTATCACTTTTGTGCGTATATTTAAGATTATCAAATATGCCATTAAATTTGGTGCAAGTCGCTTGTAGGTCATGCAATTTTCTATTAACCGCGTCGTACGTTCGATCTGTTTGTCTTTCTATAATAGTGAGTGAAAATCTTCTATAACACGAATCTAAAAACTTTGACCTTATTGCACGTTGCTGGTTTTCGAGTCACACAATATGAAAATCCAAGCGTTCGCTAAAGCTTCTTCCTCGTCTTCGTTCCAATGTGAAACTATTTTTATTACCTTTTCCTTTCTGTTGCCTTCTTCTAGACGATGGTTATGTTTCTTGGATCCTTCCATCATCGTCATTGTCGAGGCTTATAGGTTGGGATCGAGAAAGTGATACTTGAGATGATTGTGTTTGAAATTGTTAAGGTTGAGAAGGTTGGGGTTGAAATTGTTGAGAATGTTGTTGTCGAAAAGCTTGGAATTAAGGTTGACTGAATTGTTGTTGGTAGTAGTTTGGAGGTATGGAAGGTCGGTAAATAAATGTTGTTGTTGGATTGGGAATGTATTAAGATGTGCATATGGATTGTTTGGGGTGGTTAGGGTGATTGGAGTGGATGTGGTATTTGGTATTTTTGCATTTAAAAAATAAAAAAAAAATAAAAAATAAATAAATAAATAAAAAATGATTCAGAAAGAACTTGACTTTGATTTTCTATTTAGAAATATAGTCATCAAATATATATAAACTTCATTGATGATTTTTTTCCTTCTTATTTATTTATTTATTTATTATTATTATTATTATTGGTTTTTATTGATCAAATGGTACGTATAACATCTTCCATACATATTTTTCTTATTTGTTAGTAAATTCAAGTTAAATGTATTTACGGCTAATATATTGTGGGCGAGGCTATTTTATTGACTAAATGTTACGTATAACATCTTCCATACATATTTTTCTTATTTGTTAGTAAATTCAAGTTAAATGTATTAATGGCTAATATATTGTGGGCGAGGCTATGTATAGTTAGATGGGTCTAAAGACTCGCCTAATTTTTTTAATTTTTTAAAATTTTTTATAGAAAGCTTTTAATGACTTATTTGAACATCAATAAATCTTTTAATTTATATAGAAAATTTTCCTTAGAAAAATTAACGAATCATATATTAGACTCATTTCAAATATATCTTTTGTAGGAGGCTAATAATCATGGATGTCTTTAGGTGTGTGCGAAGTGGACGACCGCATATGGCCCATGCCATGGAGGAGGGAGGCTAATTTTTACATATGATTCGTTTTAGTAGCCTACTAATCTAGACCTAAAAACAAAATTGCTTCAAATGTATAATTACCAAACCAAAGTGAGTGAACCCCCGGATTCTCGTCAATCCAAGTCGCAAGTCGCTACGGCGCTACCCTTTCTTTTGAATTCGCTAAGTCGTGATGGTGTGTGTGTTTTATTATATATTAAAATCAATGCATCATCTGATTCATACATCAAAATCGTAGGTTTCAAAATAATAAGAATCGATTTTGGCATTCAATTTTAGATTATTGATTAATTGGTTGTTTTAATTTCATAAAACAAAATCAACTTTCTAAGAAATATGATGCTCACTTACTATGTTTCAATTTCGAAATCCATCGATTTCTGTTGTGACCTGTGTGTTTGATTGTTTCAATTTTAAGCAATGACTTTTCTTAAAACAATATTTGAACAATACAATATGTATGAAAATAATTTTGGTTTTTTGCTTACAAAAGCATTGAATAAATTGGATGATAATGATCATAATTTGTGTTATCTATGTCTTGAAGTCGCACTTAAGTATGGTGAACGATCATATATTGATATCAATTACCTTTATTTGGATTTAAAAATGGTTGAAGAATTTTTATTGAGTGAGATTACTAACCCGTGGATATTTTAAAATATATGAAAAAAAATCAATCGTTTTCATAAAGAAATTAATGTGTATAGAGTTCTACTGACTATTTTACTAACGGTTAAGTTTGTAGAAACAAGTTTTTTAAAATTGAAGTTATAGACCATCCTCATTGGTAACCAAATGTTTGGTTGGTTGCCATATTTCAATTTAAAAAAGTTTAAAAAAATCCTTTAAAACTCACAACTAGGATGCTCCACCAAACCTCTAGTTGTCCTTTTCATTTATTATTTATTTATTTATTTGTTATAACTCTTTTGCATTTTAAACATTATGTTGCAATTAGTTTAATTTTATTTTTATTAAAAAAATAAACAAAACACACTAAAATACGTAAAATAATTGTCTACAAATTAAAGCCAATATTGATATATTTTAAGATTTTTTTTATAATTTTTTTATGTTGTCTATATAACCTTAAAAGAATAGAACAAATTGGGTTATAAACTAAAAAAGATATAATATTTAGATTGTATAATATAATAAAAATCAATTATAAATAATATAAAATTTTGATTTGGGTTGGGTTACTAATGGATATGAAAAATTGGTTTAGTTGGATTATGTAGGTGGAAGAAAAATAAATTATTTTTTTAATTGATTGTTGGGTTGATTTTGATTGTGAATGAAAGTAGTCTTAGATTTAAAATATCACAAAAAAAAAAAAAAAAAAAAAAAAAAAAAAAAAAAAAAAACTAAATGGCTTGGAAATGATAGCCATTTTGAACAATATATTGGAAAGTAATGAGTATGAAGAGTTCGTAAACAAGTTTGTTTCTAAAAATGTTACGAGAGCATCGTGATTCACGTAACTATGTAGGATTAGATATTATATTATCGTTCTTTTCTTATTTTCTTTCTAACAATTATCGAATTATTGTAATATTAATGAATTCTTATTATAAATATAATTATGTTTAACGGCCCGGTTTTATTTTTCGTACATGCCTTCCAAATCAACAAGACGTCACTACTAACGGTTGGAAGCCATTCTAGATCAACACTAGGTTTTGGAAGATCAGCGGATTCGCAATTCAACCCTTAAAGATTTCCCAAAAATTGAGTCAGTTTTATTAAATATTATGATCAATTTTTTTTTTAATATCTCTATTTTTAAAAATTTTAAAGAACACAAGAACAAAAACAAACTCTATAACTTTGGGGAAGATTTTATCATCTTGACACGTGGCAGAACATCCACTTGCGCAGTTGAGCTGGCTTTTTGTTTTCTGGGCCATTTGTACACACGAGATTCCTGTGAACGTGATCCCGTCCTTTTTGCTGGTGGCATTATTTGAAATATGCTCCCTTGGTAAATTAAAAAGTTGCTAAAACTATACAAATTACAAATCTAATAACAGTTTAGTCCAAAAACTCACCCTATCCAACTGCCGGTTTGGCATTTTCCTCTTTGTTGTTCAAATAACAAGTGGGGTCATATTTTTTTTTCTTTAGTATTTGCTGTAAATAACAAGAGATAATCATGTATTATAGTGAAATGCAAGAAAACAATAAAAAAATGGTCTACTAAAAGAAACTTTTGCTTATAATATTGTGATTATTATCTCACAAACTTATTTATAAGCTTCCAAGTTCCAACTTTGATTCCTTGAGTATGTATACCAAGAATGATTTCACAATTGCAACGAAGGCTAGGATTAGGTTTTATAGGTTTGAGAGGGTGATGGAGGCCGAATGATCAGAAAACCCTAATCTTAATGTTCTTTATATAGGGTCCAAAACCCAAAATTAGAGGTTATCACTAAAAACATCTGTCACGTCGTGACATCTATGGCCACACTGCGGCGGATCATTTAATCTCGCGGTCCAAAACATTCTGCCATGTCGTGGTGATGCTTCACCATGCCGTGACCACCCAAATTAAAGTTAAAATATTTTAAAATTGATTCATACTTAGATCAGATGTTAAAATCTGGTAATGTGCTAGATTGATGATAACGATCACTTGGTTGATATTACAACAAATTGTAAATATAGTTATATAATTGAGAAAAAAAAAACAGTATTAAAATTGCAAGTTCGGTAAACATAGTGACTTTATTGCAATTCGGAAAAAAATAGTTATCGGGGGAACATTTAAAACCGGTCATTTAATTGATATTGCAATAAAAATATAAATATAATGACATAATTATAGAAAAAAAAAAAAAAAAAAACTGATAACAAAATCAAAATTTGTGATATATAAACTTTTTTTTTACTATTTACCCTTCATAATATATATTGTAAAATACATTAGTTTGTAACTTTGTATTGGTAGCAGTTTGATAATTAAAATATTACAAAATATTTGCTTTCTTTTTCCAATTTCTTCGAATTTAGAAAGAAAGTTCGAAATCCCGGAGAAAATTTATCCACACAATTTCCATGTTCCTTTATTTTCTATCGGAAATCTCTCCACCAAAAAGTTTGTTAATTTTATATTTTCAATTTTATTATGTAATAAAATGGATAAATTGTGCAAAATAACAATGTATATATTTTTTATTAGTATGGGTAATCGGATACAATGAAGTAGATTTTGACCCTAATTCGATCCAAACCTTTGGAATATAATTTTTGATTCGTTTACCTATTAACGACATATACTCGCTAATCCTTTTATTAAAAGGGTCAGATATGGATCATTATCGATCTGTTCCTTTAATAACTTATCCGTATCGAGTTATATATTTATATTTTATATTGTATATCGTTTATTTTTAATTCAAATTAAAAGTCTAAAAGGAAAAGATCAATAAAATTAACAATCATTGTCATTTATAAATAAATAAAATTATCCATCAATTGAAATAAAGCTTGCAATCATTATTTCTATCATTGTAATCCACAATAAAAAATCAATAAGAAGTTTATGTAATAATAAGTTTTAATTCCAATCGAAAGTCCTCGAGTACGTAATAGGTTATCTAAATCGATGTTTGTTTTATTTAAGAAATATTATTTTAAGTATTAAGTTATAATATACATTTTTTTATTAAAGATATTATATTTTAAGAATTAAGTAAAACATGTTTGGTTATTCAAAAAACCCTATGAGTTACGGGGTGATTTTGAATATTTGTTGATTCAGTGGATAAATATATGGATTTGATTATTCAAAACCCTACATGTTACAGAGCGGGTTTGGATTAGATACTGAATTTTGGTAAAAGGGTTTGGATCAAAGTCAGATACGCTTAAAACTCACTCCATTGCCAAGCTTATGGGCAACATGATCTGATTTTTACACACTAAATAGGTTACTTATAATTTTCTAAAAAATATAGTAGTCTTTAACTTGAAGAATCGATGATCATTGTTTAAAATTTTCAACTTCATCGTCTACGTAGTATCTAATCAACATTTTCATCAAATAGTGCTACAATTTCGGTTTGGATCTTGAAAGAATGCATAACCTAAACGATTGCATCAATGCAGACGATTTAGGAACAATAAAATCAATTATATAAAAGAGTTTGTGTGCATATCCATAAAGTTTCCCCTAGATGTAGGCTGTCCTAAAATGTTGTTTTTTTTTTAACCTTATGAAATATAAGATAGTCACTATGATGATAATATATTGGTTTGTTTCACTAACTGTATTAAAAATGTATCAGAAAATCAAAATTTTGAATATTTGACCCGTTTTTTACTTTGCATTAATCTTTATAGAAAACCCGAATTTATGACAACTTTGACTGTTGAGAAAACTGTTTTATGATAGTTTTAACGGTTTATCAGACAAAGAATGTTTTTAACCAAATTTTGGCCAGTTTTCTGGTACTCACGAAATTCATACATTTTCATTGTATGTTCTTTTCTCTTCTGAATCTTATCTAATCAAAGATTAGGGAATACCACCTAAATACTTTGATTTGAAAATGGAATTACAATTATCATAATATTCAAGTGCTTTTATTACCCCAAATTTCTAACATTGTTGAGGAATGAAATTCCATACATGAAACCCACAGTTTAAACCATGTCACGTACATACACAAAATATTACTAGTGTTTTGCTATTAACATTCCATGTGAGCCGTTCAGAAGGTGCAATTTACCTTTTTACAAATAGATAAAATTTATATGGTGATCGATCAACTTCTCATATATTTTGAGGCGTATAGACCATCTAAAAAAATGGCATCCAATTGTCTCAGTCATTTACTGTGACCATAGATTAACTTGTTAAACTCATATTTACCAAATGAAATATCAATTGGATTTCACTATAAACCGAAGAAAATACACACATCAAAATATGTTATTATATGTCAAAATTTATGGCAACATAGGGATCAAAATATTGAGTCATTGACCAATGAAAAGTTAACACAAGATGCAAGGATCCAAGTGTCAAAAGTCATTTGTCTCCACCACTTAGTTTTGGAACCACACTAGTTGGTGGTCCGTCCATCTTTAGCGTCTTCCCAACTTTTATAACAAATTTGAGTACCATTATCCTTCCAAACATGTTGACATCATTTATATGTGTGCCAAATATAATTATTTTGTCTCTACACAATGACAATATTGCACCATTAAAGACTTCAAAACCAATAACCAAAACAGTTAAATTACTTTCATATAACAACTTGTACATGATCTAACAATTAACATTTAATTTGATAACTTAGAAATATATAATATCTAATATCACCGATATCCATTTTTGTCAATAAAATTGCTCCAATTTTTTCTATATAGTGAAGTGATATTTAAAATATTTTACCCATAATTATCATTTTTATTAAAATATATGTCAAAATAAAAACCTTTATTGCTCTTTACTAGTTTTTTATTTAATTATATTATATTGTTTTATTAAAAGTTATATAAATTAAATACTTAATTAATAATCAACTTTTGTTAGATATGACGAAAAAGTATATATATTAACAAACTTGAACTACCTTTTGTATTTATTATTTTATTTCTGGTGCTCTTGAACTCGGTCTGAAAAGTACGGAGGACACAGATTGGCTCTCATGAAGGATCATCGCTTCCAAGGCAAGTACTAATATTTTACCTAAAAACCCTAATAGCCCCACATTCCTCAATTCTCACCCACCATTTTTCTCAAATCATAATGTTCTTCATCCACTTTTTGTCACTTTGATCCTAATTCGTTATATAAAAGTGAGTTTTACTGAAAAGGTTAACAGAAAATCTTCAGAAAGTGTGGATTATGTTTTGTGTTTAAACGTTTTGGGAGACTAAGTAGAAGCTGGATTCGACAATGGCGTCGAGGCAAGGTGGCATAAAACCTCGGAAATCGACTTCGAAATATGCGAATTCGCCATCTTCATCAACGACTTCGTCTACGAAACAGTTTCATGACGCGTTAGGTGATAATCTGAGTTCTCCAGCTTCATCAGCTAGAAGCAAGCTACAGTATGGTTACTCGGAGAGTTTGCCATTGAGTTCAGAGAGATCGAAAGAGAATGTCACTGTGACTGTTCGATTCCGGCCTCTCAGGTGATCAAATTGGGTCAAATTTTATATTATTTGATTACGTTGTGGTTAATTTGGATTATAAGTGATTTTGTTTTCGTTGTGGATAGTCCGAGGGAAATACGGCAAGGGGAGGAAATTGCGTGGTATGCGGACGGAGAAACAATTGTGAGGAACGAGCATACTCCGGCGACAGCTTATGCATATGGTATGGTACATTATGCAGTATTTGGGATCTCGGAGTCGTACTTAAGAGGAATCTCCAATTAGCTAACTAGAATCGACGACAAATTCATATCATAGAACTCGGCTCCATGCTACCAATCACTACTCTGGTGTTATTGAAATCAGCTGAAACTTAGGATCTAATAACTGCCAAGAATATATTTATGCTTGGAGTTAGATTATTTTTGATCGACTTTCCAAGGTTAACTGACAAATGCACCTTCCATGGTTTTCCGTGTACAAACCTGAGAAAGTCATAACTTGAATTTAACTTTCCACTTTTCCAGTTTTGTGAGAGCGCTTTATAAAATGGCATTAATAAGCCTTATTCACTCTACCTGAGTGATTGGTTGCTATGGTGGAACTTCCTGTCTCATTTATAGTTAGAAACTGTTAATGGGAAGTTAGCTGACTGCTTTCTTTCCTGTGTAACTTTACACAAGACTATAAGGTGACCTGAGCTACTCTGACTTGGATTGAGATATTGCTAGATTCAAATTCAAAACAAATACAAGTGATATGTAGTCATTGTCTCTGTGTTTGAAATACATATGACCAGTTTATATTTTTTGGTGTCTTCTACTTGTTAGTGTCACTAGCTTAAGGCCTTTTAGTGTAGAGCTTGGGACATGCCCAACTTGTCAATGTCAGGCAAGCTTATTTGAAGCTCAAAAAGTTGATAATGCTTATATCAATGTTATAAGGTTAACATGTGTAATAAAATATGGAATATATTGATTAAAAAGTTCCCTTCCCCTGAAAACTTTATTGTCAATTTGGGTATGTTTTAAACATCTGAGTTTTTTTTATCCTCAACCGAAACTTAGGATCTAAATTCCATGTCTTTTGCATTATTCCTACAATCATCCACTTTCTCATTACAATCTTTCTTTTAGAGAGGATTCCTATGCAAAACGTGTATTTGATATTACAAATAACATTTAAGCCTTGGATATCTTGATTCACATCATAACTCTCATCCTTTATTATATGTAGATCGGGTGTTTGGGCCTACCACAACAACACGTCATGTATATGATATTGCAGCTCATCATGTTGTTGGTGGAGCTATGGAAGGTGTTAATGGTATGTTATTTATAAATCTTATGCGGTTTATTTGTTCTAATACATCCTTAAAGGTTAAAGGTATTTTACCCTCTTTTCTATACACATGATCTTGACTTACTTCAATACCAGGGACTATTTTTGCATATGGTGTTACAAGTAGTGGGAAGACTCACACTATGCATGTAAGTACACACTTTGTTTTGTTGCATTTAAATGTATTTGTTTTGATTATTTTTTTACCATATACATAAGCCAGGGTGATCAGAGGTCCCCAGGAATTATCCCATTGGCAGTAAAAGATGCTTTCAGTATAATTCAAGAGGTATATAAAGCTAAACTTTTGATACCATTTATACAAAATGTCAAAAATATATTATTTCAAGAGGAAAAAAATCTTATAATCTTCATATATTTTCAGACTCCTAGTCGTGAATTTCTCCTTCGTGTCTCATATTTGGAAATTTATAACGAGGTATGTTTCTGAACAATCTTTTCACTGGTGCTTTTTTATTTGATAATTATGTCTAAGCCTCTAAGATTAACACCATTTAGAATTTTCATCTTTTTATCTCTTTCCATAGCTGTTTCTTTCTGTTTTTACTTGTAGTTGTCCATCGTTAATCACTTTATAGCTTCTTCATGTATTTATCTTGATTCCTTTGTTATCATTTTAGTTTTGACCATTTATTACAGATGCATGAGTCTTATTTTTTATGTAATATTGTCATCTTAAATTTCATGTTTTTTGCAGGTTGTTAATGATTTGTTGAATCCAGCAGGACAAAATTTAAGAATAAGGGAAGATAATCAGGTATTTTATGCATATCATTATTCAAGATCACATGTTAATATGTTATTTGTCCTATTTTATTCATAATTCCATATAAAATACCTTTTTTTTGGTCTTCAATACCATATGTTTTATATGTATGAAAATCTTACCAATTCTAAATAAAAGTACACTATAATTATTGGTTTTGTAGGGAACCTTTGTTGAAGGTATAAAGGAAGAAGTTGTGTTATCTCCTGCTCATGCCCTTTCCCTCATTGCAGCAGGAGAAGGTTTGTCTTTTCTATGTTTTACTCAATACATTTAATCATTTTATAGGTTATATTATAAAATAGTTTTTTATTTTTACCCATGGTTAGTTAACATTTTTATTACATGTTGATCTATTTATTTAGTGAATGTAATTGATCTTCCATTCTTCTGATCTTTTACTATCACAGAGCACAGACATGTAGGTTCAACAAACTTTAATTTGCTCAGCAGCAGAAGTCACACAATATTTACATTGGTAACTTTCTGATTGGATAAAAACAATTCATTTTTTGGGTTAAAATTAAATTTCTTTTGTTAATATTTTTACCTTCCAACAGACAATAGAGAGTAGCCCTTGTGGTGAAAATGGTGATGGTGGGGATGTTAACTTATCACAATTGGTATGCATCTGAATTAGCCTAAATAATTTATAGTTAGTTATTCACTTGTTGACTTTTTTTTTTATATAATTTTTTTTTTTTTTTTAATTTCATCTCAAATTGCAGAACCTCATAGATTTAGCAGGTTCTGAGAGCTCAAAAGCTGAGACTACAGGTGTTCGTAGAAAAGAAGGATCTTATATAAATAAAAGTCTGCTAACCCTTGGAACTGTGAGGCCTCAATCATTGCCATTATTTTATCAGTGTAATAGTTTGCTCTACAAACAAATATCTACTTTTAGTCATGTTAATTGTCACAAAGGGAAATAAATAGGTAACCATTATGAATAAATTTATCTATTTCTTTTAGCATTTATTAATTCCAAATTGTCACAGGTTATATCAAAATTAACAGATGCAAGATCAGCTCATGTGCCATATAGGGACTCAAAGTTAACTAGGCTCCTTCAATCTTCATTAAGTGGACATGGAAGAGTATCTGTAAGTTTTAAATCCACCACATTATGAAATATGATTATGAACAAATAATAATATTTATTTACATCCTTTTTTTTATAGCTTATTTGCACTGTTACTCCCTCATCAAGCAATTCAGAGGAGACACATAATACATTAAAATTCGCGCATCGTGCAAAACATATAGAAATTCAAACAGCACAAAATAAGGTATGTATGCCATTACACATTAAATTAAATCTTTGGTGCTTCAAAGTAATATTTGTGACACTATTTTAATTTTGCAGATAATTGATGAGAAATCGCTTATAAAGAAATACCAAAATGAAATTCGATTATTAAAGGAGGAGCTAGAACATTTGAAGAGTGGCATTGTGGTAATTCCTCAGATAAAGGATAATACCGGAGGAGATGATATCTTTCTTCTTAAACAAAAGGTATACTTTTTGGTTTCTATTAAAATATTTTTGTTAATTTTGAACATCATTTGTGATTTGTAAAGTTGTTGTAATTTGTAAAGCTAGAAGATGGTCAAATGAAGCTGCAATCAAGATTAGAGCAAGAAGAAGAAGCCAAAGCTGCTTTGTTAAGCCGAATACAAAGGTTGACCAAATTAATCCTAGTCTCCACAAAGTCAACTCCAGCCTCTAGATTTTCTCATCGCCCAAATTTACGAAGACGCCATTCCTTTGGTGAAGAAGAGGTAGTAACTCAAGTTTCTTGATTTGTAGCCTCTTTAAATGTCATACATAACGATGGAATGGAATTACAAAAATAACCAATGTAATGGAATCAATCATTACATTCCATATTCCATTATCATGTTTGGTTGACTTGAACGAATGGAATGAGTCATTCAAACCATTTATTTGTTGTATGCTATTAACAAACATCATGTTTATGTTTTTCTAAAATCTCACTTCATTCAATTGCCAGCTGGCATATCTTCCGCATCGAAAACGTGACCTAATTTTGGAAGATGAAGACACTGAGTTATATGTTTCGCTTGATGGAAGTGTGGAAAATAATGAAAATGCATTGAAAGAAGAGAAAAAGACCAAAAAACCTGGATTACTTAACTGGTTGAAACCACGGGTCTGTTGCTCTTGCTCTTGCTCTTGCTTTATTTATTATTTGTTTGAATTTTGAAATCATTATTTTTTTTTTCTTTTATTAGAAACGAGACAGTATTTCTGGGGCTAGTGATAAATCAAGTGGTGCAAAGTCCATGAGTACACCTTCAACTCCTCCAACAGATAATCATCTTCATAATCTTCCTATTGAATCCAGACATTCACACTCTTTGCAAACTGAAACCAGATATTCTGAATTCTCATCAGAGGCCAGATTAGATGAAGAAATTAACAATGAGGATACTTTTTTGCAACAAGAATGTTCTCTAGTAAGCATTGTTTTTTTCCTTCAATTTCTTTATCAATAATACCAATGTGTAACAAATAAAGTGAAGTAGGTTGTTTACCTGTAGCAAATAGTATGTAGTTTTATAGAACTATCTTTGTGTGTGATTGACAGATCAGCATAAAGACAATTGACCAAATTGACCTCCTTAGAGAGCAGCAAAAGATTTTGTCTGAGGAGATTGCAATCCATTTAAGTGCTCTAAAGCGATTGTCACCTGAGGCTGCAAGCGAGAGGGAATTTATAAATGTAATAACTCTTTTTTTTATATATATAAAAAATGCAGTTAATGTTTTATTTATATACTTATTAAAATCATTACATGATATGACAGGTGGAGATTAACCGATTAAATGAACAAATCGAACTGAAAAATGATGAAATTAAACTCCTCCAAGATAAAATTGCTAATCCTGTTGATGAAGTTGAAAAAACACGAGTAAGTCTGAAATTACATGTGTCTCTTGTTCTCTTTCCTTTCCTCTATTTATAATATTTTAATTTAATTTTGTAATTCCGAAATTCTTAAATGCAGCCTGTTTCTGAGCTAGAACTAGAAGCACAACTAAACGAGAAGTCCTTTCAGCTTGAGGTATGTTGTCTTACTCTTATCATTATGAAAGAAGACATTGACACATTTACCCCTATGTATATAATTAATGAATTTGTAAGTTGTAACCTATTTTTCAATGTCATTTTCCAGGTCAAATCTGGGGATAATCGAGTACTTCAAGAGCAGCTCAGCGAAAAGGTAAGAAAAAAATGTCAATATATTTCCTAAATATTAATGATTTTTCTTGCTTATATTTTTATGTTGTTTACTTTTCCAGATTAATGAATGTGAAGAACTGCAAAATACAATTAATTCCTTGAAAGAACAGCTTTCTGAAATTAATCCCGTGAAAAATGAAAAAACAACCTTGCTTTGTGAAGCTCAGGTTTGTTCCCATCTTACTGTTTATTTTTTACTAATTAGAAAAAATTTACGTTCACAAATATTTTTCAAGAGTTTTAACCTCTCAAACTTCATTTTTATTTTTGTGAAATCGGATAACTATTAACTTGTTACCTTACCTGTTGAAAGCAAGTTTGATAATGGTTTATGTTGGTACATAAATCAATTGCTTAACTAATAAACAATGATAGCTATATTTATATAAATTCTTCAATTATTATACATTGTCTGTCATTATTTTTAGAGTAGTTTACATCTTTGGTCCCCAAAAGAAACCAGTTTGCAGTTTTGGTCCTTATTTGTTGTCTAAAATCAGGCACTTGAGATCGAAGAACTAAAACACAAAGTGAGTGAGTTGACCGAGTCAAACGAGCAGTTAGAAAGCCGTAACAAAAAACTAGCAGAAGACAGCTCATACGCAAAAGGCTTAGCCTCAGCAGCAGCAGTGGAACTGAAAGCCCTATCAGAAGAAGTTGCAAAACTCATGAACCACAACGAGAAACTATCAGCCGAGTTGGCGTCACACAAGAACTCCCCGCACCAGCGCAGCAGACCAATGGGGTCCACCAAGAACGGACACGGACGTAAAGATCACATCACCAATAATTTCAGACAGAAAGAAGTGCATAGTACTAATACACAAGCGGAATTGAAAAGAGAGCTTGCGTTGAGTAAGGAAAGGGAATTGAATTACGAAGCAGTGCTGTCTGAAAAGGATGAGAGGGAACTGGAATTGCAACGAACGGTTGAGGAATCCAAACAGAGGGAAGCGTATCTTGAAAATGAGTTGGCCAATATGTGGATTCTTGTGGCCAAGTTGAAGAAAGGGGAATCCGAGGAGTCCAGTGGGGGGGATGAGAGGTGGAATGGAATTTTGGGGAAAGAAAGGAATTTGTATGAGTAATTTCAAATTTGTGTGTAATGGGAATGGGAATGGGAATGGGAGGATTAGATGGTAGTTTCTAGTATTTCGGGTTAGGAATTGGGATTTGTGTGTTGCGTGTTGTGTGTTGTGTAAAGATGGACTTTTCATTGATTTTTTTTCTAGGATTGTACAAATCTTTGTTATAAAATGAAAGACATAATTATCTTAGGCCAAATATCATAAAAGCCACAACATTTTCAAGCATATTTGAAAAAAACCTTATTATTATTTTTGGTTAGCTCTAGCTATAAATGGGAGATAGAATTACCACTCTAGCCCATTTAATAATTTTCATGGTTAATTTTGTTAAATTTTTTGCAAAATCAATCCTAAAAGTTCAAATTTGGTCTCTGTAGTTTGCAAAAAATTGTACATGTCTAAAATTCGATTGTATGCTTTTTAACTTTTTTATTTTCATTATTTTTAAATTTTTTAGTCAAAACTAAACTTGATTTTATATTTTTATCGTTTTATTATATTCTTTTTTCTTTTTCCTTTTTTTTCATTTTTATTTAGTTTGTTTTATTTTTTTTACGTTTTGTTTTTCGTCAATTTGATAACTTCTTTTGATATTTATCAAAAAGTTTAAAGTGTATGGATATTTTTTTTTTATGTTTTTTCGTTTTTTTTTCCCTGTATTTTTGTTAAGTTTTGTTTTTCGTCAATTTGATAATTTCTTTTGATATTTTTTAGAAAGTGTAAAGTGTACGAATATATTATAGTATATTACATTTTTGGTGTTTGAGTTTTTTTTTTTTTTTTTTTTATTTTCTGAAAAAAAAAAGAAAAAAACATGTAAAATAAATGAATATAAAAAATGAAAAAAAATAAAAATAAAAAGTTAAAAAATAAAAATAAAAATATAAAAAAAACGAAAAATATAAAAAAAAAATTAAAAATATAAACGGAAGTTTAGCTTTGATTAAAAAATAAAAAAATAAATGAAAATAAAGAAGTTAAAAAGCATAAAACCGAGTTTTGGAAATGTTGGGTAAATTTTTGCAAACTATAGCGACTAAATTTGAACTTTTAAGACCGATTTTGCAAAAATTAACAGAGTTAAAGTTCTTAGCTTTGGCAAGTTTGAGCCCCTCCGTAAGTGTAAAACCTCATTTCAAGCATAGTTTGGGCTTTTTGAGAAATTGGAGCCTTGCATGCACGTAAAGTTTGCAACTTTACGTGATAAGCAGGCCTAAGGAAGTTGGATCTACAATTTGGGGCCTTGCCATGGCTTAAAAGTTGTCTGCATGATAAAATGACTGAAGGGACTCGGCGAGTCGCAAAGCCGACTCGGCAAGTCACATGAAGGCATGCATTAGACTCGACAAGTTGGACGAACGACTCGGCGAGTCCGATGAAGATTGCCATAAGACTCGACGAGTTGAAGAACAACTCAGCGAGTCGGATGAGTTTTAACCGTTTGCATGTATATCCGTCGAGTACAAGGAGGGAACTCGACGGGTGACCTTAAGGTTTGATCAAGATTCGAAGGAACTCTACGAGTCACCCCGATGACTCAGCGAGTTGGATGTGCTTCAAGGGACTCGGCGAGTTGAGGTCAACATGGACTGTTGACCTTGACTAAGTACTTTTACCTTGATCGAGGTTAGTTATTCTGTGAGGACAAAGACTTATGAGCATGTCATATTATGGTAATAGGTGGTGGAGTCTTTGACAAGTGATCGGAGAGCTTTGATTAATTACCGAGCTGACATCTACAAGGTAAGTTATTCTCACTATACTAAGGGGTGTAAGGCACCAAGGCCAGCCCAATTGATTTGATATCCTAGTAGTTATTGATATGTTGAGTTAAGTCAGTAATGTATGCCAGTTGATATGCTAGTTGGGTAGATCTATAGGATTGCCTGTGATACTGATTGATTACCTGTATGTGCATTTATCTGTTACATGTCGACATGTTATGTGGGGTGGGTTGAGGTTGTACTGCTCCGTGCGGTAGCCAACAAACCCGAGAGTGTTCCAGATATGAGCTAATGGTCCGGTAGGCATTCCAGACTCATACTGACTCAGGAGCATTCCAGATACGAGCTGAGGGCCCGGTAGGCATTCCAGACTCGTACTGAGGGCCCAGGGGTAGTCCAGCTTGTAAAGTTGTGGACCCAATGCATGTTGTTCTGTTTTATTGATATGATATGCTAATATTGATATTGTTATATGGATTGTATGTGTATCGGTATTTTGGGGGTATCTCACTAATATTTTGGGCTTACAATTTCAGCTTATTGTTTCAGGTACATTAGAGGATCGCGGATAATTATGATTCTGGAGAAAACTCTGATAATCAATATTTTGAAAACAAAGTTCTAATGTTTTGATGAACTTGACATGTTTAAAAAGTTTAAATTGGTTTGAAATTTTGGGATGTTACAGGTGCTTAGAAATGCTTTTATTATAAGATACTATACGAATTCTCGCGCGTTGCGTAGCGAAGATTAAAAATATATTGTTAAAATATTGAAAAATATATAATGTTCATTTAAAATACAATTTATTTATAGCTAAATCCCTATACTAATAAAAGAGTACTTGTTTTTCCATTTGTTATCATATTAGACATCCTAATTAATATGATGTCACTTGTCAATCAATTAACTCTCCATTTTAAATTTATTAGGTCTCCTAATTAATATGAAATTACTTGTCAATCTATTTATTTTTTATTTTCCATTTTAAATTTTATATTATTGTTTACATTAATTCACAAATAAAAATTGTCTAATATAGATTGAAAATTAATTTCACATATTTATTTGAATCAACGAATATAAGCTTACATAACTAATAATAATATCTCTTAATTGATAATTTATTTAAAATAATAGATTAACAAATTTGGATTTTTAAAATGAAATTTTAATTAATTTTGTAACCATGGTTCCCACAGGTTATAAACTAGTATAATTTATAATTTGATATTATTATCATTTAAAATTGTTATTCATTAATTTTAAACCACTTATTATTAATAATATGTTAAAAGAAGACTTTTAAAAATAACATGCAATTTTATTATTAAAATGTGAAACATACACTAAATAATAAAGTGATAAGATAGATAATTTGCATTTCAAAAGAGACTTGCACGGATAATATGACATATCCATGTAATTTGATTTTATTATTTATAATTGTTGCTTATTAATTTTAAAACCACTTGTTATTATTGATAAATGAAAGAAACTTTTAAAAATCAATTATTATTATAATTAAAATGCTAAACATATACTAAAATATAAAGTGATAAAATAGACAATTTGTATATTAAAAAAGGTTTTAATGGATAATATGGATAATATGACATATTCATAATTTTTAATTAATTATTGTTTTAAAACAACATGAACATACAAACATGTATACAATAGTTAATTAAATATTATATATATATATATCATCTTCCATAACATATGATCGATAACATGAATCTAATCTAATTTACATTAAAATTTCAACCACAACATACAATGATATTCTTAAAAGAACACTTAAATTAAGAAAATACAAAAAAGAATTAGTATATAACAAACTTACAAATTAAAAAATTCAACATAATAACATGGCTCGAAAATTTGTTCAAAGCCCTCAAACCAACACAAAAAACTTTTAACTTGTTTTCTTTGTGAATTTTGTATGTGATTTATATTTGTGTCTACTCAAAAAGATTGACATTTTTATAGTAGAATATCCATTAATTGTTTATTAAATATATTATATAAGTTATAAAACATTTGAATTGTTAATCATTATTAAAAGACTTTTGAGTGGTATTCATTAAAACATAAGGTTTCAAATGCATGAGATTTAAGGAAAAATACTAGCTTTATAAGTATGTATGATATATAACATAATCTAAAGAGAGAGTAAAAATAATAACCCATGTTATCAGTTAGTGAAGACTAATTGTCTCACTTTTCCTTTACTCTGTCATTGATGCATCTTGGATCCATCTTCTTTGCTCTTAGGCTAATGATACACATATACAAATATCTTAGTATTTGTCTTAGCCTCTTAAGAGCTTAATAACCCCTAAGGTTAAAATAACCACTTAATGGATCAACTTTCTAACTTTTCATTCTCTATCTCTTAATTGCATTCAATTAATGAATTAGCATCCCATAATATCTAATTCATCATAATCTAACATCTAATGCATCAATTACACATAATCATTGGTTAGGGTTTCAAACCCTAACTCTCATTGGATTGATCCCACTCATGGAGGAAATATATTATTTCAAAATCAAAGTAGAATAAACTAAATCAAACATGTATAACTCACTCCGGTTTATAAGCCTTTATGTTATAATTTAGTTTGGGAAAGTTTGGAACGTTAATCTCACTCTCAATTTCCGTTCAAAGCAAAAGCACACTGATTTGCATAAGATCTACATGGTTCATTGATTATGCATATGCATAACTTTGAAAAAATCACATTGCCTTATATCGTTAAGAAAATAAAAAATTATTATTTTAGTGAATCGTATATTAAAATATGTGTCATTAGATATATGTTATACATTTGCAAAAAACTTGCTACAAAGATCCAAAGTTAATATAAACACACACAGCATTAGTTCGTGTTCAAATATATGAATAAATTCATATCAGCAAAACTTGTCCTTTTTCTTTTATTAAAACATAATAATAATTAATACATCACATTAAGTCTTAAATCTTACTCTAACCTAATATTTTCCTAAACTAACACCACTCAAATCATTGTTAAATTACACTCAATGAAAAATATGACATAATCAATAATAAATACTACACCCACTTTCATTATCATTCAGATTCTTGTGAGACTTGGTTGACTGAAGACAGTTGATCTAAACAATCAGGAAATTTGACTGGAAGAGTCAACGGTTGACTTCCACAAACCCCTTTGACTGCCTTCCCTAATGCATACCCCAACGCAGTTGACACCGAAAACGCAACTGCATTTCCAATTTGCAAATACCTGAAACCAAAATATAAAAGTATATATTTAACCAAATATGATAAAATCTTATTGCGTTTATATTTTTTTTTAATTTTTTATTTAAATGATATTATTATTACCTCTCTTTAACAGGTCCTGAAAGTTTATAATGATCAGGAAAGCCTTGCAAACGCGCATTTTCACGAATTGTAAGAACTCTATCTTGGTTTGGATGAAGCAACGCCTATCAATGAAAAAAAATTAAAAATTAAAAGTTAATATTATAATTTTGAAATTTAATTTTGAAATTTAAAAT